GCCAAAACGAAGGAATCCGAGAAAGATTCCAATCGAACATCATATTTTTTGGCTTTGACCGCCCCCCCTGCAACCACAAAAGAGACAGGCATGGCGCGCCCTCCCGCCCACAGAGGGGGAGAGGGGGGGGGGGGGCGTGGCCGCCGCTCCCGCTGATGCTCGAGTCAAGCACCCGCGAGAGGAGCCTCTTCGTGGCCCGCAATGATGAGCTCACGAAAAAGCCGAGGACCGCGCTCAATAAGCCGAAAGGAAAAAAAAAAAACAAATGAATCATCATTAAATTACAGTAAACACAGACTTTACACCCCCTCCTCTCGGCCCCCCCCTCTTTCGACCCAACAACTGGAAACTCTTATTGGGCAAAATGGATCGATCATCGGAAATGGCTGAGGGGTGCTCGAATCTGCCAGCACAGCAAGTGGGCGGCACATGGAGCCCTATAATCTTTCAAGGGATGCCTTCTAGACTTCTTCCATCTGGAAGCGAGATAACCCAGTGGAGCGAGCCGTCAATGCCTAGCTAGCCCTTCGAGCGTTTGCGAATTCCGAGATCATCTACGCTCTGCATATGGCGGCCCATTTTCTCTGTTTCGTCTCATTACACTTTTGCCGTCGAAAGCTGAAAGAGCGTCCACCGAGAGCGAGTCCTTTGCGCTGGTTCGGCGCACGGCCTAACAAAGCAGATCTACAAGCTATCGAATCGGCGCCAACACAGTTAAGGTTTACACGGCGGATTGTGAAGATTCCTCTGAAACCAGATGGGTAAATGACTGCCCACTACAGCTCAGCTTACAGCTGCAACATCGATCCCTAATAAGCCGCTGGCACTACTCTACACCACATTTGAGCATAAAGCATAACAAACCGTCTGGGTATCTCGGTTACCTAGTTAATCACAAGCGTCCAGTCAAGGCCTTACGAATATATACCGGTAAGTAGTCATCAACGAGTCCCAATCAAGAAGCTATATCCGTATTACCATGCTATTGGCGGGCCTTTTTATAAGGACTATCTATAAGTGGCGCACAAGGATCAGCGGTACGCACACATATTGATTATTTTGTGGTGTGAGGTCTATTCTCCTAATTACTCTCTCTGCCGTCTTTGTAAGCAATACCCATTCCATCTTCTTCACGAAGTTACACTTGTGCCAACTCGAGAGACGGCTACAGAACAGGCCCTGTCTGGCGGCATGACTGTGGACGAAGAGAATGGTTATCGAGACTTAACCTTTACTACAATGGTTATAGCCATTCTTCAAAAAATCCCAGCTCGCCTTGTTGTAGTGACAAACCATGCAAAGTTGATATGCTAAAGTCGATTTGCAAAAGCTGAACCTAAGAGGTACGGGGGACCCGGCATAATTTCTTAGCTCAGTAAATCATTTTTCTCTCCTTTTCACCTTTCAATCTTGTTGCCCCCTCCCTGCGCGTCTACATAACGTGCGTAGTTGGCTTGATTGGGCAACGCGAAAGTAGTTATGTAAGACGCAAGTCATTGGTCATGACTGTTAGTGGCACAGGCATCTCGGCCTGCTCGTCTATAATGATTATGAGCGAGAGGGCGTACAAAGAATGAGCTGATGATGGCAGCGTTTTTTAGTTCTTAAGCTTCAGCTTGACAGGCTTGCGCAATTAATTCTTCCATTGCAATATTGCCCAGAAGGCGGGTTGGCTTGAAAGGTAGTCCAGGCACTAACTACGATGCGCTTGCGTCTTTCGGCTAACCGGCTCAGCAGCACATGGAGCTTTCGTAACATTAGGTCACTGGAGCCAGCTACAATTTTTTTTTTTTAGCCCTCATGTTTCTTAATAACCAAAATACTCAGCAATAGTGGCAGACGACTTTGTGGAGAGCAACTATATTAACTGGTGGCGGCATTGCCCCATATCGCTAGCACAGACTAGTTGGGCTGGGCAAGTCTTGAAAGGAAGAGGGATCAGGGAAAAGAGAGAGAGAGAGAATGTGGAAAAAGCTCCGCGCTCACATCCCTGTCCCTGCCATTGGGATGTGCAGCTAGCTTGCTAACTTGCTAACTAGCACAAGGTGGCTGCCACGTTTTCGCTAACTGATACAGAAGAGTTTCATCACCCCTAAACTTTTCTTTTTTTGCTCAGCCCTGCGCTTGGACGCCAACCGCGAAAGTAGCTTCCCCGAAGTGAGACATGACGGGCAAGACAAGCAAACGGTCTCTGGGGGGGAGAGAGGGGGGAACGGTACGTCTGCTCAAGCCATTGCCCCCCTCCCCAGAGATATAAACTACTCTGACTATTATGGTTGGGGCGCAACCCACTCGTATAGTCATGCTCGATCGGTAAGCATTCCTTTGATTATGCAAAGACTCCAGTGTCTAACTAGAGCCAATATAGTAGCGCCATCTGTGTTGGGTGCTTAGCTTGGCTTTTCGTGGGTAAACTCGTGCGCTGCCTGCGTCTACAAACACATGAATACAGAACAGGGGGGTTGTCAGCTGAATCTTACTTGGTAATACCCAGCAGATTAGCAGTATAGCTAAAATCATTAAAATGTAGCTTAGGTTCCTTTGTGGATAGAATAGTTCAATGGGGCCTTTTTTTTTTCATTAGCACCGTCATAGAGAGAGAAAAGAGACTACGGAGAATAGGACCGCCTGGGAAGGAACGGCCCCATTGATATTGAAACGCCGAGAATCTCACATCAGTAAGCTACCTAGCCTATGTACCTACCCATGCTGCCATGCACCCATGCTCCGGAATAAGAGCCGCACAAATTAATATGGTCAATTGGAATGCCAGTACGTGGAGAATGGCGCCGGTAAAAGTCAGGCCATTTTCGCGTTTGCGATTGCAGAAAGGTACCACAAGCCTCTTTCTTTTG